GTTGTGTTGTGTTGTGTTGTGTTGTGTTGTGTTGTGTTGTGTTGTGTTGTGTTGTGGTTGTGTGTTTGTGAGTTTATGATTGTGTGTTTGTGGTTGTATGTTGTTGATTGTGTGTTGCGTGTTGTGTGTGTCCAATAGTGCCCATTGCGATCTGGCGCTTGCTGATGCGGTCCTGTACAGCCCACTGCGATCTGGCACTTGCTGTTGAGGTCCGGGCGGCGGAAGGAGAAAGGAGGAAAGGAAGGAGGAAGACAACTATATATTTAAACAACTATACAAAAAAACATCACCTGACCGGTAGGGAAACACTGATATATGATTGTTTTTCGGAATTCAATATCCTTAAACCGTCGGGCTCATTATGACCATGGCTCGTTGGGAGCCACCTTGCCAGGTGATCGGTGCATAGGTCATTGGCGCTGGCGCCACAGGCATGGGCTGCGCTGCCTGCAGAGATGGTGTTCGCGCCGCTTGGACGAGGAAGATAAAAAACAACAAAAATGGGTGGAAATCATTGGAAATGTGTCAATGTTTTCTTTTGAAGGACGATCGCAGCATTGACATTGGCTCTTCCGCAACAACTTGTTTATGTTCCTCTTTGCTCTGCCAACGTGGTGTAGATGTGTGCTTGTGGGGTTCGGGCATTTGATCCGGATTCCACTGTGGGGTTACTAGTTCGGTAAAACCCCAAGGGGTCCCAATGACATTGCAGAAGGCTTCACTGGGTAGATTGAGCAAAGGCTTGAATTCCATGTTTCATGCTCTTCTTGAAGGGTGCAGGGCTGTGTATAACAATTGTTGAGGACGTTGTTCATTCCCACAACCTGCTCTAAAAGTATTCCCTGGTGGGAAAGTTCTTGTTTGTCTCTCCCCCTCTCTCTGACTTCCAACCCCTTCCAAACGATTTCGAACGCCCCACGAATCCCACGCCACTGTGGAGTTCCGGGAAACCCGGAAGGAGCGAACTGTCCGTTTCCATGAATCCAATCTAAATACCCGAAGAAAAATGGAAAGACCAGGAGTCACAAAGGGGTGCTTTTTAGTCCCTACAGTATGTGATTGGACAATGGGCACCCCTATCCTCCAAGTTCGGCACCCCTTTGTGACTGCTGGGATTGGATGTTTTTCGCCCCACAGGCCGGAAAGAAGACGGATATGCGTATGGAGGAAGGCGTCTGCTTTGGCAGCCTTTAGCACTCTGCTGGCCAATCGATCCACGGATCTGCGTACGCCGAAATCCTCGCTCCCTTCCAAAGAGGGTGGATCCATAGGGTAATTATGTGGATCTTGGAGGCTTCAAGGTCGTACTTGGGAATATGATGTTGGAAGATCATTCACCCAACATGAAAAATTAACACATTGTAGTTAATCTTCTGAACCACTGTCCCAAATGAAGCGAGTTTCTATTGGAGTCGTATGGTTCGGAACTCTCTGAGGAGTAGGTGTAGGGCTATCCCAAGCATCTGTACCCATCCACTCCACCAAGAAGGGGCTAGAAAGGCGCCTGAAGGATGGGCGTCACCTGAAGGATGCCGGGTCAAATGGACAGATCTGCTGATTCAAAGATCTCATGGATGGCAAGTCCCGTCCGTCCGCATCTTGTGAGAGTCCATGTGAACACGTCTTATGAGAGTCAGGCGGCACAAACAACACCTGTGTATTTGTCTTTGGCGGGTGATGGCACTCCCGCTGTCAAAGGAGCTGGAGGTGGAAGAAGCTTTGGATGGAACATGTGGGGTACAACCACCACCACAACCTGAGCTGCTTTGCTTGAAGATGGACCACAATTTCGATTGATCTACCCTCCTTCTGACAATCATGGAAGTGGATGGCATGCCCCCCCAAAAAATATACTAAAAAGCACTGGGTGTTTGTCTACCTTCTTCAAGCCTTCTTCTTTGTTGGAGTCCGGGATGGTATATAACAATTAGCGCTCTTCCGATCCATGGTGGATCGACAGCGCTCCTTCCGCACGCCCAATTTCTGCTTGTGTTCAGCTTAGTGCGATGCATATCCGCTGCCACCCTCGACGTTCGACACGGTTTTCTGAGTGGCAACCAGGAGGGTCCCAAGAAAGTTCCAAAGTTAGCAAGTGATGAATGGAGGGGAGGAGTGCAAAATCGGCACATATGTGGAGATAAGGAGATAGTGAGTTAGAAGATGTACTTGCATGTCATGCGCGTCAACCAAGCAGCACTCCAAAGAGCTGTGGCAATCCACCCAGTGATTCAAGAGTTGACCCAAACCACAATGGATCCTGGATATTCCATGGCATTTCTCAATAACAAGCTTGTCTTGAAAAGATCAACAAAACACCATGTTAAAATCGAATACCCAAATCACCATGTCGGTCGGTGAACACCTGTTCCGTTCGTTCCTTCTTCCAAGCTCCACGAGACCGCACGGAGCGCCTGCTTCTCTTGCTCCAGGTGGACCCAGCCTTCCTGGCAAGTCTGAGGACCCCAGACTTGGCCAACCCCAAGAGATCCCCAGGGAAAAGGTCAGGGGCCCACACACTGGAGATGGTGTGTGATGGTGTTTGGAATAGCAATGCCCCCCAAAAAGACCACACGCTTGGCCGGAAAAGAGGGAGAAACCTCAAAGCACTCGTTCTCAGCTTGCCTTTTACGGAAGCGTGCGCTGCGGCTGCACTCCCTCCAAGGCTCTTCAATTAGGAGAGCCCTGATATTTGACCAAGGGGAGGGGCCCTCAGTTCAAATGAGATCCAACCAAGGGGACTTTACCCTAGTTGCTCGAAGCCTCAGATGGGATCCATTTTCGAAGGCACCCGATGCTTCGATGCCAGTTCGGCGTTTGTTGGGGGCCAGCAGCTGCTAAGGTACCTGTTCTGGTCAAAGAATACATGATATATATAATATTATGATATACATTGACATGCTGGTTGGTGGTTTCAACCTAGTGAATGGATGAAGCTGACATCTGAAACAAGGACTTTCGGACTTTCTGTACTTTTCTTCAGACCTTTGGTGATCTGAACTCTTCCTCGAACTCTCACATGGGGGTGGGCCAAGCTGCATCAACCTGCGATCGGACTGACAAAAATGAACCACACATTTACGGAACGATGAAGCCCCACAATCCATGTATGGAATGTTTATCTACATTGACTCTGAAAACATCTTAAAACCACTCGATTGTAGGTAACTCTTTTATTTTTATTTTTAAACATATATATATATATAGATAGCAGGTTCGATTTTGATGCCCGAGGCACGCTGCCAGACCCAGTGCTTCAAGCTGAAGGCCCTAAGGCGTTGCCGTTGAGAAATCAAGGACATCAGACGTATGCTCATCTGCAGAGACATGAGTTGTGGGAGCAGTGGAGCACGCCCTTGCGTGCACGTGTTGATTCGGACATGCTTCTGGAGCTACTTCGTGATGCAACGAGACAGACAACGTTGTACCACGCTGAGATCAGGGCAAGCATGATTGCCTGGAGCCAGCTTCCGGAAGTTGTGGAAGTCCTTGCTGCCTCGAATGCGCGTGATGTTGTCCAACAGTTTTTAGACCTTGCATCCGCATCATGGTTCTTGCGACGAGACTTGCTTGCTGCTGTACCAAATGAGACTGTTGAACACTTTTTTGCAGTGCAAGGCCTGTGCATGGATATGTTGCCGTGCATCATTCCAGATGCACCACGATATAAGCCTAGGATGGTAGCACATTTGTTTTCGGGTACTCGCCGTGAGCGAGACCTCCAATTTTATTGGGAACAGATGGGGTTCACTGCACTATCCATAGACATCATTTTCCACAAAGAACTGGGAGATCTAGGGAAACCCGAAACAATGGACTTCTTTATGAAGGCTCTCCAATCTGGCATGCTTGTTGGATGGGTGGCCGGGCCGCCATGTGAGACGTGGAGCAAGGCTCGTAAACACGAGTTTCCAGGAGGACCGAGGCCAGTCCGAAGCTACCAGATGCCGTTCGGCCTGCAGGACCTTACATACAAAGAGCACGTCCAGGTCAGCATTGGGAGCCTCTTGTTGGGGATCTCATTTACTTTGTTCTGGTACAGTGTGCTTTCAGGGGCAACTGCTGTGATCGAACACCCTGCAGAGGTAGGATTGGAGCCCAACGACCCCAGTATCTGGAAACTTGATGTGGTTGCTTTCTTTTTGCATTTTCCCAACGTCAAGAAGATCAGAGCGTTGCAAGGGCACTATGGGGGAGCGACCCCCATGGCCACTGACTTGTTGATCTTGAACGGTGGCTGCGACCCTGAACAAGTACTCGTGCAGTCCCGCACGACCCAGTTGCCGAAAGCCTCAGCAATCGGCAAGAATGCCGATGGGTCATGGAAGACGGGGGTGCTGAAGCAGTATCCGCCGGACTTTTGTGCATGTCTAGCGCGGCTTTTCGAGCACCAACTGCACGAGGACGGGCCCGAAGCGAGCCTGCCGTTTGACTTCTTGTCGAAGGTTGAGCACTTTGTACAGTCGTTTGACCAGCAGGCTGCGATGGGGCCAGACTTCAACGCGTCTGCATGTAATTTATAATTTGTTGCAATCTGGTCACAGGCAAACGCCTTCGACGCACAGAAGAGGAAAAGAGGAACATATATATATATATGTAATGGTAGCCCCCGCACCGCGTCCCACGCGGTCGCCGCGTCCCACGCGGCCTTTCACTCGCTCGGGCCTCAAAGTCCCTGCACAGTCGCTCGTTGACACTCCTATTAAGTGTTTTTGTACACACGTCGAATGGAGCTGCCGGGGATGACAGACTGGCTTGCTTCATGATGCATTCCGCGGGCGCGGAAGTAGTCAACCAAATCTCGCAAGGCCGGTGACCCACTCTGGTAGTGGGACTGGCAATAGCTACGATAGCTGGCCAAATCTTCGCTCGTGCTTTCAAACATTTCAGCATAGCTCTTGGAGCCTTTGTACTTCCCAAAGGACACCACCGTCTTTCCCCATTGGGTGATTGTCGACACCCCATGTGGCAACTCGCCACCAGGACTTGGGCTAGCGATCAGGTTCTTCTCGGAAGGCATAGGCGGATCAGCAGTTGTGTAGCCGGATCCGTACGTCACTGGTGTTGATGGAGCCCTGTCCTCACGCAATCGCTTCGATCCATCCGACATAGAGCCAGAAAGGGAAGGAGACCAAGCTTCGTCCAAAGCCAGATCCTCAGCATCACGGACCCGGTGCATGATGGCATCCCATGCACCGCACTTCCTGGCCTTCATGGTACCGCAGGAGTGAAGGCACTCAGTCCACTGGACATCGCCATGGTTCCTCTGTCACAAGCGAAAGGATGACACAAGTGGCCGTCGAAAGTTGGAGAACCTTGTTGAGCCATGTGTGCATATATCTTGGCATTACCACACATTAAGACGTCAAGGAGTGATATACTTCAAGCACGTGCCCTATGGACTGGTCATTAGCTAAATCAAGGCAAAACTCTAATTATGCATTGAGGATCACAAACAAAAATGCACTTCTACCTATCATTCTCCCAAGACGGCACATACCCCTGAGTGCTTCAAGCACTCTCCCCAGGCCTAATGTGCCGATCATTCGAATGGTGTGCGGCAGGTCTTTCCATGTTCACACTATCCTCAACACAAGACTGCGATTTCGAGCTAGAGGCAAACTGTTTTCGTCTATCACGTTCTTGGGCTCTGCGCTGCAACACAAGCTCCTCTGGGCTTATTTGGTATCGGGCGGACCTCAAACAGGCTCTCAACAAGTCAAAGGCTTCTGGACTTTCTTTTGTTAGAGCATCAGCCAACATTCTGTTTGTCGGGATCCACCTTAGTGTTGCTTGCATTCGACGAATGCTGTCCCTGAGTATGACGATGTCGATGGCGGTACGCCTATCGTCCAGCGTTGGTGACGACTGGGAGCTCAGGTGGTCGTACAAGGACTTGCAATCTGTCACAAGCATGGTTAACCGGTTTCCCAAACTACCCCATAGGCTTTGTGGACACCTAGAACCGTCTAAGGCTTCCGAAAGGATGAGATTGGTCCATTCCAACATGCTAGAAGCAACCGACATACTTTGGGCCTCTGCACTCAACGTTGAGGAAACAACCCTTGGTAACCTGAAACTCTTCCAATACGCTGGAGAACATTTGCAGTCCTTACCTAGATTCACATCTTTATGCACAAAGCTTACTATGAACCCTGCTTGTGTCGCTCCTGCTTTGGCGTTGGCGAACGCCGCATCTGAATGACACATGAGAGCCAGGTCATTGGGACCAATGGCACAGAAACGAATTTCTTGATCCGAGTGTTGTTTTGCACGTCGGACCGCATGGTTCACAGCTATGGCATCTTCCACACAAGGTTGTGGGAAGGACTGTTGTGAGAAGGACACCTGAGTTGCTAGGTCTGGTCTGGATTGGTTTGCTAACCAGTTCAAGCTGCCATTGATCGCTCTAAGACAACTCACTTCTTTGGCATCGAGTGCAACGTCTCGAACACGAGCCCTTTCCCGACTGAGGTGGAGGGGTCTTACCTTCTCCTTGGTAAAACGGCTCTGGCTCATGGTGATTTCATGTGTATTGGGGTCCTGAAAGTATTGACTACCACAAAAATCCCCAGACCCTTTTCTCCATTTTCTGAATTCGAACACCCGTTGAAGCTCTTGGATGGCTGCTGAGTATTTTGGTCTCTGTCCTCCGGTCACACAGTCATCAACATGAACCCCATAGATCCCGGTCAGTTTTCCTTCTTCTCGAAAGTAAAAGAGACAAGAATCGAATCGTGACCTCTCGAAACCAACCCGTGTTAGTTCTTGGTACAGCTTTTTGTACCATGCAGCTGGCGAGTCGTTCAACCCGTACACATGTCCACAGACCTCTATCAGGGCATCTTCGGGAACTCCAGGGATGCCACCTTTTGGGAGACTAGCGTAGAGAGGGCGGTACCGTTGTGGTAGATCACCCGCTGCTAGGAATGCCCCTTTTACGTCCCCCAAGGACATATTCCAACGAAAGGATGACAGAAGCTGAAAGATCAGATTACGTCCGACCTGACTTAAGGTGGGACTCTGAAGATCACCTTGCATGGCCTTCTCACTGAGATCTGGGTCCAAGTGGCCCTGAAGGCACCAGCGTGCTTTCATGCGTGGTGCCGAGTCATCTTCTTGCTTCACCGTGATGACATATCGACTACCCATGATTCGGTCACTGTGGTGTCTACGGACTCCCTCGGCTTCGGGTCCTAGGACTAATCTGGCTGCATGCTTAGCTAGGATGGTATTCCATTCCAACAATTTGGCCTCGTCGATCTTAATCTGGATTTCGGTCGGGTTACCTGACACGGGAAGCTCTTTAGCAGCCTTCTTCTTGAGGTATGTTGCTACAAGAATTTCATGTGGCGTTCCTTCCCGATACATGGAGATCAGTTGATTTAGGTCTTCTAGAGAGAGGTTATCGCTCCTGGGATCATAACTTTGTTGTTGCAAAACCTCGACAGAACAGATGGCTACTTCATCCTTGGCGAACGTGCTGCCAACTGGTTCCACGATCAGGCTGTCGTCCATGTCATGTGTATGATCATATGCGGCTGCACGTTTGCCTACTGGTTGCTCGGCACCACTGGCGTCATCAACCATGCGCTTTTGGCCCCTCTGTGATTCAACTGTGGAACTCGGCTCAACCGGTTCCGAGGCGGATGACGCCGGTGGCGTGGTGTCTATGACTTGTTTAATGAGCTGAGGAACAATCTCTTGCATCATGTCTTGGAAGTCATCTTGCATCATACGACCCGGCCGGTATAGAGCGGATGCTCCATCCTTGTGCAAAATGCGCCGTCGAACAGGCCGGACAGGCCCATAGCCGGTAGTCGGATCCACCGTGTCAGCATCAGGTGGTGGCTGTGGGATCGTCTTGGATGGCCTAGTGTCAGGCGGCTCTTCGCGGAAGGTTGTTGCCTTGTCCTCCACTGGGACCTGTGTATCGTCACTTTCCAACGGGGTTGATAGTGGAGGTGGACTCAGACTATCATTACATCCTGTTGTGGCAGGTCTAGCAGGCATCGACGGGAGGTCGACAGGGCTTCCTTCCACAGGCCGTGGGGCAGTATCTGTCTCTGGCATTGGCAGCTCGCTCGGATAGCTCTCTGGCACGAGGTCGATGTACTGTCGGCTTTCAAGCTTTCCGGCTTCGATCAGGTGTTTGATTCCTAGGAGTTCCATGTGTGGTGTTTCAACCAACTTTTTCTCCTCATGAGTGGACGGTCGAATTTGTTCTGGAGCACAGCGAAAGACCTGTCTTTTGTGAATGACCACTACGTTTCTGCCAACATAACCCAACACCACAGCAGGTCCATGCCAACGTCCGGTCTTGTCCAGAGAACCGTGAACCCACTTTTGGGATCGCCAATAGGCAACATAGGAACCTGGTTCATGCATGTGGTTTACCCTAGGGCGGGCTGCCAAGGCCAGACGAAGTGCCTTACTGTCCTGCAGTTCGAGAACTGCCTTTCGGGCTTGATTGGCGGATGGCAACCTGTCGGGCCACGGCTTCTTCATACAGTGATGATGTGGCAGGAACTATCTCTAATGGTTCGTCCAACAAGTTTTCTGGAATTCGGGGGTTCCGGCCAAACACGAATTGTGACGGGGTCATGCCATACACCTGGATCAACTGGTTTTTGCAATGTGCTGCACTAACACATTCAGTCCATTCCTCCCGGTTGGAGGGGGAGTGCTCCGACAGGATGCGATCAAGCACACGGGCGAACCAACCCCCGTGCACCTCGCATTTCCCGAGTTGCCAGTGGGCATCAGCAGCTATAAGCTTAAAAGAGGCGCCACCCTTCTCGAGAATCGAGGAAAAGGCGTCGGGCAGATTCGCTCGGTGAGGATCGCAAACGATCTCCTGAGGCATGCCGGCCCAAGACACCCACCTGTCTAGGAACACCTGTTTCAAGACCGAAGATGACTCCCGTTGGAAGATTGGAACAACAATTTGCAACGAATTCTGTTGTACGATGTACCTGAGCGGGCAGGGCTACCTTTGGGCTCTTCTGGGCTAGGCACTGATCGCATTGGAAGGCTCGGGCAGCATTCAGCGCGGCTTCGGAAGCACCACCATGTTTCAGGACTCGGATCAATTGTTGATTGGTGGGATGTCCCAAGTTGTTGTGAAGTCGTCTCAAGCTCGTTTTGACTTTGTCCTCGCTCTCATGGTTCAGTTCCTCCAAAGACTGGGCTACGAGGCACTCTTGCAAACGGTCTTCGACCACAATGAGAGATTCAGTCACCGGCAACCCTTGGGTCACTCGCAACACGGCTTTAACAAAAGCAGGGGTGTACTTGGCAGCGTGTTTGCTGACAGCACCTACCATGCGATGATGTCCGGCCACTGGCTGGTGACATCGATGGCTCTCATGTGAAGACCCAGGGCATTGCTTGGCTAGGCATCTCATTCGGTCATGCGAGACCAAAAGGCGGGTGGACTTTCGGATCAACTCTCCGCCTGGGATGCGCAGTCCATAACAGCACATGTCTACCGACACTAGGTGCATCCGTTTGGTTAGCTGTTGCATGGACGGAAGATTCCAAGCTACCGAATCTCTTGGGTGCTCAAACATGCATTGACCTCCATGTGTGAGCTGGAGCTCCATGAGTTCACAACAAAACTTGATGAACAACCGAGTCCACGTTTCCCTGATTGCAACTTCTTGAGGGGTCATGTACTGTCGATTCAAGTGCCACCATCCTCCCGCCCAAGTGCAAGGAGGGCAACAAACAAGCAGCTTAGGTTTACTCACTTGAACATGGCTTTTCAATGACTCCCGATCGGCCTTCCTACGAAAATCCCATCCGGTGCACAGATCTGCCGACAGGACCCGGAGGCCCAGCTTACTCCCTTCAAGACCAAAACGAGGTGGTGAAAACACTTCGATGATGTCATACCGTTCTGTTTGGTCACGGTCCGGCGCCTTGACTTGAGCAATCAACTGCCGATGTTGCTTGGCAGTCCATTGCATCAACCGGAGCCGTTCTTCCTGGGCCGGAGGGATGGTCGGCGGCGGAACATGTCGTAGGAGTCGAAAGACTGTCTTGCCAGTCCAGGGAATTGCATCATGATGGGCGTGGGCACTAAGCGGATCAGTCCAATCGTCTTCAAGGTCCCTGACTGTGGAAGCATGTGTGTTACGAATGTGTTGGAGACGGTCGACGGCGACCGGGCATTGTGTGTTATGTGGTGTGAACCTGGTGGTACGTGGCTTGAGGTGGTGTCGAATAAGCATACGATCCTTGGGCCTATACTCCCAGTAGTCTTTCATCTTTGCATGTGAGTGGTTATATTCTACCGAGAGGCAATTGTCTTCGATCGACTGGTCAGGCTGCGGCTCGGAACCTGGGAACAGACGGGACGCCTGTTCAGGAAATGCCGTCACATAGATGGCATACTGGCCGGCAGCATTGATCTCCATTGGGATATTCACCTTTCCAGCGAACAGGGTGAGGCTGTCATTTGCGAAGTCAATCTGGGCCTGCAACCTCTGTAGAGCAGGCCGAGACAGCAACAATGGTGCCGAGCCCTTGACGATGGCAGCTTTGATGTATCCAGGTCGACCGGCCAAATAGACCGGCATGTCAACCACAGAGGTGCTCACCTCCTGCTCACCATTGCCAAAACGAAAGCTGTTCTGCTCAGCCTTCTCTTGGGGACAAGGCACGCCGTGCTTCTTCCAAATGGCCTGAAAGGACTCGAGGGTTGATCGTCCGACGATCGTCTTGCCACAGCCACTGTCCAAGATTGCATATCCAGGACTACTCACCAGGAAAACCTCGATCTCGGGGCAACTTTCGGCGGTGCAGACAAAATGCTCTTGCACCGGACTGTCGATCACCTGAACTGCGCCAGCTGCATGACTGGAGGGTGCACCAGAGTGTGAACCAGCTGAGATATTGGCCTTACATTCACGCTGCCAATGTCCAATCTTGCCGCATTTGCGGCAGCGCGTTCTCTGCTTCAGCTCCTCGACCTGCACCCGGAAGGATCTTTTGAGGTCCTTGCCAGCTGGGGCTCCTCGCCGACTGTCGGGCGGGGTGAACTTACGCCCCTTCTGAACCATGTTCAGCTCAGCACGCTTCTCACGCCAGGTGGCAGCTAAGATCTCCGCTGTCTCTTCTTCATCGAAGCCGTCCTGGATGTAGTCCTCTGCCGGCAGAGTTGAGCTCTCCTCAAAGCCATGTTCGGCCAGAAACAACTCGACGTCTTGAAAGGAATCCTCACCCGTCGGTTCATTCGACGAGGCAGCAGGGAACTCTTCCACCATATGGACAGCAGCGGATCTTCGCTTAGGCACCACATAGTCGGGGAAGCATGACCTCATGGATTGAGCCAACTGTTCGAACTTGAGGTCTCCTTGAGCTCGAGCCAGGCACACTGCACGTTGTTCCTCGGCCATGCCACTCTGATTCAGCAAGATCCATCCTCTTGCTTCTTCTGGGAATTTGACGCCCGTTTTACGGGCACACTTGTCGAAGCATTCGCGGGCCCTTGCACACCATTGGCGAATGGTCTCGCCTTCTTTGGCCCGCAGTCCAAACACGTCGGCGATGTTCTCGCCGATCTCGTCGGTTCTGTCCAACTCGGGCCACCGACGATCCAGCAATTCGAAAAGCTTCTTCTCTCCCCCCTTCACCTGGTAGTCTTCCTCTTTGAGGTGCTCGACTACCTCTAGAGCACGGCCGGACAGGAGCGTCCAAATGAACGATCCACGTGCCTCTTCTGCCAGCTTGTCCATTGTGCGCATCTTATTGAGCGCCCATTGCTTCCACCTCTTGTACTCACGATGGTCGCAGTCTTCTCCACTAAAGTACCTCAGTGAGGTACCCGCTTCCATGGCTGCACAGTCGCACAGCGGTGCGCGTCCAGCGCACCCACCAAAAACAACCTACCGGAGCCAGGTATCTACCTAGACCTGGCTCCGCTACCAATAATGGTAGCCCCCGCACCGCGTCCCACGCGGTCGCCGCGTCCCACGCGGCCTTTCACTCGCTCGGGCCTCAAAGTCCCTGCACAGTCGCTCGTTGACATATGTATATGTATACGTATGGTCTGGTGACCTCATCGCCGACACGAAGTGCGTTCGGCGAAGCAGGCTTCGCCGCTGCGGCGTTCGGAGAAGGCCTGGCCTCCTCGTCGCTCTCCTCGTCGCTTTCCGGTTCCCCGCCCTGGCGATGGAGGGAACTCCGCTTCAGGGTGTCGACGAGAGTGGTCCCCAACGAGGTATCTGAATCCATGTTCCAATGCCCAATCACCTGGGACCACTTAATGTAAAGCAGTCATGACAACAAGAAGGTACTGGGTTCATGTGCACGCACTATCTGGCAAGCGTGCAACAATTCACCTAAATTGATAATAGGAATCCCCACGCACGTCACAACTCATTGAGGAAGTGGCTGACTAGTTTCGCCAGCCCCAACTGGTTTGCTCGTCACACTTTGCCTTTCATTTGTGATGTCTTTTTTCGCACCAACGCACGCGTTTGGGATACCTTTGAGGCCCCAAATCAGCACGGCGCACCCAAACTCAAGCGTTTCTTGTGTATGCCATCACCCTCAAAATCTCCTGAGATGCCACTTGATTTGTAACATCTCGGAGGTGTGGAATCCTGAAACCATGCGCGCCAAGGTGAGAAACAGAAAGAAGACACACTGGGCCTTCTTTCGTGGACTTCCACGTGCCTTTTCGATGATCGTCGGCCCTTCCTGTAGCGGAAACCCTTCCTGTAGCGCTCTTGGGGCGCCGGACGCAAATCCAGGACATGCTAAAGGGCGTGCAAACAAACAAGCCGACCTGGCTGGCGATCACGGTGGCAGGTCCGGTCGCTGGAGTTGAAGCAGAGAGGGGATTGGGATCAGAAAAGAGGGACGGGACTTGTTACTAGTAGTATGGCCAGGAGCCCCTAGTAGCGTTCTTGTTACCCATGTCTGGACATGTCACTGATGGGATTTGTTGGGGCTTGTTGGGACCCGCTGGGACCCCCTTGAATTGAACAGAGTTTGGAGGTCGTTCAGCCTGAAGCCTGAAGCGCAGAAGTTACTTATGTGAGAATGTGTCACTCACAACCAATGGCGTTGGTGGGTCCCTGTCTATCCCCAACAGGGTTTGACCAAGGTTCGGAATAATATCTTCCCACCGTATACACACATACAATGTTGTTCGGTCACTGGCAGGCATCTTGGGATTTCAGCCCCGATCCGCGGAAGATTTGGTGACGTGGAAGATTGTTCGGCTGCGATGTCCGTACTTGGGAATGGTACCATATATATATATATATACCATATCATATACCACTTCATATAATACATCCCTGGTGATAGATGGGTTGCATGCTTTAGCGGGCATTTTATGGAGAAATGGTGTCTATGAAAACTGAAATATTCTCTATGAGATGGGCATCCAGGTGTTACTATGAAATGGCGTTCCAGATGATGAGAGGTCTAGAATTATAGGTTGGACTCCACGCTGGGTCAGATCTATTCTTTCTATGAACAGGGATACCACATTGCCACTATGAAATGGAAAACCGGGTTCAGAAAGATTCTACCAGCATCGCCACTTCATATAATACATTATAATACCACATATCTATATAGTTAGAATTATATATATATAATCCAACCAACCAATAAAATGGCATGGCTCGGCTCGCTTCACCAAGTCGCCTCTCCGACCAAACACCGAAGACCGAATCCAGGAGAGTCAGGCTGCCCCCACACAAAAGAGTACCACGACACCCAGCAGGAACCATGGTCCTTAGTGACATTGAGAGATGTCATGGGAAGATGACAGAATTTGGACATCTGATTAGAGGGAATGTTAATCGCTATTTGGTTGGAGGCCATTAGAACACATGGTACATTTTGGCTCCCAAAGAAGTACAACATGGTGGAACACATGAACCGCCTTTCCGGGTGTCCTCCTTTTCGTGTCGGGGCTGTCGGGGCTGGAGATATGAGGGGAGGAGTTCTGGAGACTGACGCGACCTCCATCTTTATACTCCATTCCAAGAAATGGACACGCTTGTTAGGGGAATGTTCCTACCAAAAACAGCCAGCCCCAGGCGCGTTTTGGTGTCTGATGTATTTAGTTCTGAACCCTCCAGCTGAATGCGGTTCCGCAAGGTACCGGTGAAGGTTACAGCGGCCACCAACAAGACTCATGGTCTCATGGTGTATGTTTCGTTTGTTTTAGGCAAACGGTGTTGGTACTGGCACACATAATTCAGGTTGATTTCCAAAGTTTGCGCTCTGCAAATTGTGGAACGCAAATAAAGCAAATTGAGCCCAACCAATTTCATGATTTTATGCCCATGCATGCCCCCTGCAAATCTCGAATGGATTGCAGGTGAACCAAAGAATTCAAGAACCATCAGTTTCACCAGGAAAGCACTCAACATCATTGATCAGCCTGGATTCCAAACATAGATTGTTCCACCTCTCTACTGACTTGAAACGTCTAATTAGGTGTTGGATTTGTTTCTTGTCACAACTATTGATGTCCAATTTCCACAAAGAAATGGGCGTCAAACTTGACGAGCGAACGGCTTTTGTCAGAATGGAGTGATGCCGGTTCCAAAAGTGAAGAGCCGTTTCTTGGAGAACTCAGGTAGCCTCAGCAATCTTTTCGATCCAATTTCACCTGCTGTTACATCTTGTGCACATATCATCTGGTGGTACGGCAGGTTCCAAAACAGAAATACATACTTTGCTTCGAACAACCCCTACCTGGAGAGGCGATTTGGAAGACGGGAGGGAGCATGTATTGACGGTTCATCCTGACAAATGTTACGTGAGTTGACACAATGTTTTGATATGTTGCTATCAACTCTGTTATGTTTTTCACACATCATCTAGCATTCATCTGGCATAAAGGCTGGAAAACTTACTGGAATGTATTCTGACATCTTGTCTGCCCAGCCATCAGTTTGACATATGCTCTCGCATCAAAAACGGCACGTCACATGTTCTGAAGTGTGTTGTGACACATGGTCCGACTTTTGTTCGGATATGTGTTCTCACAGCAAAAACATTATTAAACGCACTGACATGTATCGAATTGTCCTGCTATCAGATCTACTGTCCGTTCCGACGTGTGTTCTGAGTTCTGACATATGTTCCGACATTTGCTTTGATATGTGTTCTGACGTGTTCTGCCCTCTATTCTGACATTTGCTCTGACATTCTGCCTGACAGGTGTTCCGACATTTGTTTTGACACGTGTTATGGCATGTGCTTCCGGTAAACATTCTAACATCTGTTCTGACAATTGTGCTAGGCATGGGGCATGCCGTCTGACATGTTTTCTGGCTTATCTGTTGGCATTTGCCCTGAAATTATATACACATACAGACATCTAATCACATACCGTATATACCTGGCAGCCAAGTCCAGGGGCGCACCACACCGCAGCCGGAGCCGTCAAGAGTCCATGACGCATCGCTCGGCCGGAGCCACCCAAAAAGGGGCATCGCTAGGAGCAAGGACGCTACTAGTAGCTCCTGGCCTTACTAGGAACAAGAAGCTACTAGTAACAAAGGAAATATCCTCATAGTGCTGTTTCTCACCTATCATCACCTATTATCTATCCCGGCCGACTTGTGATTTGCAGAGCGAGCTGACCATCTTGAAGATGTACATTGCTTCGGGGTACCCTCAAAGAAAGCATTTGGTGTCCTCCATTATGGATGGAAACCAGTTGACAAGAATGTGTACATGATGGCCTCGGCTGACGCTGCTACACTAGTCAATATTTTAGTGAGGGAAGACGCAAACTTTCTAGTGGCCTTTGGATCTTTGGATGATGTCTGTGCTTTACTTTCCCGGTCCAAGCACGTAGCTGGACGCACCCTGACCTGACATGAGGGAGTTGGGATACTTGCGACGTTTGAGCCGCTAGTGGCCCCACCAAACCCTGTCAAGGTTGACCGATGACTGAGGTTGACGGCCACTGTATTCCTCTTTGAGGGGCCCGGCGCCACCAATCGTCGTCCTCCTCAGTTTGATTGACGTACCAGGTAGGCGTAAATGTTTGTGCAACCCAAGGGATCTACATCAACCACCCTTTGGTTGTTAAAGGGGTGCATATTGACCGTGTTAGATTGTAGAACCGTGGGGATACTGGCTCCGGGAACCAATTCCAAACCGAGAGCATGGAAAATGAACACGGCGACATGGAGATGGTGTGAGGGGGGTCGCATTAAAACAACACCTTGCATGTCAGATTGAAAACTCTATTTTGAAATATCAACATTGCTCTGAATATGTTTGGGCGAGGACTGAAGTAGAGCATCACCCGTGACAGTGGAAGCATGATTTGTGCGTGTTGTTGCCAAGTCAAGGCCCGGCGCTTTACAAGTGTTAGGTGCACAATCAAAGGCAATTGAGTTGAGGCAATCTTAATCTTGCAATTCGCAACAACAAACCACAATTTCAGACCTGTGTTTGTCATTCTCGATGGCCATGGAAATGAATGCTTATACATCGAAACTGAAAACATGTACTGACTGTTGTCCGCAGACCTGAATGAACTCTGCGATGGAACCCAAACATGCGTCATCAAACTGCATGTAGTCCTCCGATAAAAAAGAACTGAGGAAACCGATAACTGATCTTCGAACTGGAAAGCCAACCTTGCAGCGGCGAAACCATTCACCTCGGTTTCATCACTAAAATCACAGTATTGGGGACCGCTGATGTGTAACAGGTTATTGCATCCTTTCCCTGATTGAGCTCCTGAAGCTGGAGGTTCCGGGATTCACCAATAGTTATCAAAATATGATCCGGAAAAGGATACTTCAGTCAAGTATACCTGAAGTATCCTGAAGTCCCTTGAGCT